TCTTATAAGGATCTTACTAGGTAAAAAGGAAACTAAACAAAAACAAAAACCTCATGCTGAAAATAATCTGCCCTTCATTTTTTAGGAGGCTGTAATTATATTTTAAAAAGTTATGTGAAAAAATATGATTAGAAATGTCAAAGTTTGGCTATTCCAGTTGATTTGAGTGTATGAAGTATAACTTGTTTCACTGTGATAGTAAAAGGGTCGGGACAGCACAGAGTCATTAATAATGAGCACAAAGTTCAGAAATGGATTGCATTGTCGGTGTCTGGTGAGGACGGTGGAGGTGCTGACTAGTATTTCAAATGTTGGCTTCCTTACAAGGAAGACGTGTGCTCTACAGAGATCCTCTTAACAATTTGGGCCATTGACTTATCTTCTTATTCAAAATTAAAAGTATATAGTTGTTACCCTGGCCGGTTTGGCTCACTGGTTGGAGCATCGGCCTGTGGACCAGAAGGTCTCAGGTTCGATTCCTAGTCAAGGGCATGTACCCGGGTTGCAGGTTCCATCCCTGACCCTGTTTGGGGTCATGCAGGAGGCAACCAATCAATGTGTCTTTCACATTGATGTTTCTCTCTCTCCCTCCCTCCGTCTTCCTCTCTCCCCCTCTTCATCCCTTCCACTCTATCCAAAAGTCAATGGAAAAAGATCCTCGAGTGAGGATTAACAACAACAAAAAAAGGTATATGGTTCTCAAGTTTACCTAAGAGAAACCCTTGAAGAATGTCCATTCTAGGAAGAGTCCTTCTTTGTACTGACCGCTGAATGCAAAACATCAGTGCTTTCTTCCATACTTACAACACTCTCACCCCAAATCTGAGGAAGGTCTGCGGAGGTAGCAAGCTGTGTCCTCATTGGCCCGTGTGTGGTCAAGTTCATGCTCTGACTGATGGCTTAGCGGAGCTGATGGAAACTGTGTTTATCCTGGTTACTTAATGAGTTGTTCTTGGGTGTGCAGTGGCTTCTAGCACTCGTGAACAGAGAAATTAACCTTTTTATTTTCACAAAAAATAAATAAAAATTAGGCAGTTAAAACACTGTTAAGAGCAAAAGGTACAAGATTCTATTAGTCAACCACAGGTATTCATGACTCACCTTTTTCCCCTCTCTTTAATGCAAAGATATAAAACCACTTGGTGTACAAAATCAAACATTAATGAAAGTGGCTGTTTTAACCAAAAAAAAAAAAAAAAAAATCGTAAATTAGTATAATAATTGGAGATAAACGAACTAAATGCCAGCAAACGTTTTGGAAAGATCCTCTATGGTGTAAGGAATATTTGAATATATAGTTACCTCTGCATTAAAAAAAGAAACCCTCATAATTTCAAAAAATTTCTACGTTCATGTCTATGTCTGAGTCCACTGAGAAACCATTTCAATTAAGTCTTTGAAATTTTTTAACCTAGGCTTCATTTTTTCCTTCTAACATGACCCTCCTCTTTAAAAAGAAAAGACACAGCTGTTGTCAAAGTCATTGTTTCCTCATATTTCATCCAGAAACGTCCTAACTGCTGGCGGAAAGATGGTTTCCATGTGAACCAATGGGGATCAGGGACATTTCTTAATCTTCCGTAAGACCACATTTGTAAAACTACTCTTCATATTACTCGTTCCAGAAAGTTTCAGAATTTAGAACGATTGCAGATGATTGCAATGAGATGTATCGAATAGCAGCTTAGCACACCTTAGAGAACATTGGTTTAGGAAGACGTGCACATCACAGCGATTACATGCAAGAAATGGACATATGCAGACGAAGCTGGCCCTTTATTTCAAACCACACAGCGTGTCTCCGCGAGAAACTTCACGCTCTCAGCCTAGCCCACTTTCCAGTCAGGCAGGGGTTAAAAACGTGACCTTCCAGGGGAGTCAGGAATGATTCTGGTCACATGGACCCAAACCTCAAAGGTATGTCCTGTGGCCGGAACAATCTGTAAGTCCTTTCCATAAGCAAAAACCCTCCAAGTTACAAACCCTTCACAGTAAAGGGCCCTTCTCTCTTATAATTTCACGTTTTATCTGCTTTGTAATTCTTTAGGACAATGGATGACATTTCTTTGCGAAACAGAATTAGAAACAGTGATATTTAAATTTTTTTTCTAGTCCCAGCGAACAAATTCTTTTTAGAAATTCCTGCATGAAAAATATGAATAGTTGTTCAGCTGGTGTGGCTCAGTGGTTGAGCGTCAACCGATGCACCAGGAGGTCACCGGTTCGATTCCCGGTCAAGGCACATGCCCAGGTTGTGGGCCCAATCCCCAATGGGGGGCATGCAGGAGGCGGCCAAGCGATGTTTCTCTCATTGATGTTTCTATCTCTCCCTCTCCCTTCCTCTCTTTTTCAAATCAATAAAGAAAAAAATATTTTTGAAAAATATGAATAGTCAATTCAAAGTCCAACGTCTAGATGAATCAATGCAGAAAGTTTCCTGCCATATTCAAGGCTCAGGGTAACGATTTCCATGTATTTGTTTTCTAAATTAAGCTCCCATGGAAGTCTTCCAGGTTGGACCATCCATAAAGAAGTTTGCTTCTCTTGTCGCCCTTACGCTCAGTTTGTGTCCCTGCCAGGTTTAAAAAAAAGTTCTTTTCGGTCCCTAAATGACCACTAGACAACTTTATGGTTACACATTTCCGACGAAAAACACAGGGTCTGATGTTGGGGGTTTTGAGTCCAATACTCAGGGGTTCCTTCTCTTCGCCGCTTCGCCAGGTTTCTCGAACACAGTTCAGTGCAGCGGAGCGGCGCACGGTCCGGAAGGTCGTGTAAACAGCTACCGGGTAGCAAGAGGCAGCTCCGCCGGTACACGTGTGAGACGCCGTGGGTTTAGTTTCCGAGAAGCTGCATGGAAGTCGGCTGTGATGCCTGAGCCAGAAGTTATTTCCATCTCAAAGTGACCTCACAGGGTCCCTCCAGCTTCCCTGGGGCAGCGGAGCCTGCTTCATGAGCCCCCCTTGGGCAGGGAGTTCCACAGCCTTACTCATGCAGAGGCCACAATGGCCTGATCAGTGTCGTAAGTGCTTGAAGCCCGGACATGGGAAAAACAGGCGCGTGAACTGGGGATGTGAGTGGGAGTACAGGACGGCTGTGCTCAAATAGCTTTCGGGACGCCATGTGGCAGAGAGATCAGAGATGTTCGTTTTCACTTGGAGCAGAATGAGGACCCAAACGACAGGAAAACTGCAGACAACAGATGTGGGTTCAGCAAGGGAGTCACGGGGTGAGTGCCTTGTCACTGGGGGGCCCCAGCACGCGCTGCAAAGCTCCTTAGGAAGGTGGTTCGGTGGAGGTGGCTTGAAGCCGGTGAACCACGCGATCCCTTCGCATTCTTTGTTGAAAACCCTGATTCGTAGGCAGATCTAATTTAAAAAACTATTCCTAGAAAATAACATACGTAACTTTTGCGGGAAAAGCGTGGTATTTAGAAATCTTTCCACCAGTTTTCTTTTCTTTTTCTTCCTTGGTTTTAGAAAAAGAAGGAGAGGGAGAGAGAGAGAGAAACCTCGATGAGAGAGAACATCCATTGGCCACCTCCTGCATGTCCCCCACTGGGGATCGGGCCCACAACCTGGGCACGTGCCTGACCGGGAATCGAACTGGTGACCTCTTGGTGCAGGGTCGATGCTCAACCGCTGAGCCACCCCAGCCGGGCTCCACCAGTTTTCTTTAGGGGACCAAACTGGAGGCAGAGTGCGCAGGGACCGTCCCTGGACGGGGCAGGAATGCACAGGATCTGGAGACGCCCACGAAGGAGGGTGTGTCCTCTGAAGTACCACCCGGACAGTGTGCCCCAACAGCTCAACTGTGGGCGAGTGATCAAGACACTGTCATTTCAGATGCTGCCCGAAGGCTTAGCATTTCCAGGTGTTAGTTGCACAATAAAATCAGCCTTGCACACCTTGAGACATCGTCTAACACAGGAGAAAGCAGCCGTCTGAACATGTCCCTTGGGGGCAGAGATGGAAGCAAACTTCCTAGGACCGGTTGCCTTCCCCTGACTGCCTCCAAGGGCTAGGATTCACCTGACCTGGGTCTGTCTTTGTTAACACGTGACTGATCCTAAGGAGGGTGGCACTGTTTCGATTGATCACATCTCTTCCTTTGTGCTCGTTCTTCTGTGACACTAACGTAACTGTCACCCAACACGAGGTGATGCCCGTGACTGCTGGGGGTCGAGAGAGGTAATGACTGAAGAACTGCACATTTTGGCTAATGTGGGAAGAGACACCGATGTGGTTAGAAATATTACTGGCTTCATGCAAAATCTACTCACTCGGGCAAGTGGGATGTACTTTGTTGCCCTGGCCAGTGTGGCTCGGTTGGGTGTCATCTCGTGCACGGAAAGGCTGCTGGTTCTATTCCCGGTCAGGGCGCATGGCTGGGTTTCGGGCGTGGTCTCTGGTAGGGGACATGCAGGACGCAGCCGATGGATGTTTTACTCTCACATCGATGTTTCTCTCTCTTCCATCCTCTGTCTCTCAAAAAATCAATAAACATATGAACAGAAAATGCTTGGCACCTGATTTTTAAATAAGGCCTCATCACATAATGTAAACTTTTAACGTCGTTTAGTTCCTGGACTCCAACGGAAGTGCCTCTATTAAAATCCCTCTTTATGTTGCGCAAGCAAATGTCCTAATTACTGACAAAGCGCAGAATAAGGCTGTCGGGGAAACAGAATTCCCAGGGGCATGGAAAGTCCCAGGTGCCCGCGCTCTCAATCTGACTCACTGTTGTCAGAGACCATGGCTTTTCCAGTGGGGTACAGATGTAAAACAACTGTCCTTTTGGAAAATATAAAACCCCGGAATCAGCCAACACTCCTCAGATGGGTGTGACTGTTCACCGGGCATCAGAAAGTTCCACGATTTTTAACAAAGTGAAACCTTTTTATTCCTGCATTCTGGGGACCCGTTTTCTAAACTTCTGGATTTTACTTCTGTCTCAAAGGAACAATCAAGGCACCGGTTCTGAGTTTAATACTATATTTATTAAAGTGTTTTTATTAACAGACTTTCCCCAGAAAGTTCTGCGTGTGTTATGACAGCAGGCACACTGGCTTCGAAGGCTGGCATCGGGCAGTGCACAGAGCGGCACCTCACCCTGGCAATTCTGCCATAGCCCTGCGGATGGTTCGGGCAGGACCCGCAACCCACCTCCCCCATTAAATGGTTCAATAGGAATTGTGGTTCACTGTGATTCAAATGTTCTGAGTTCACAGGGCCATCGGCCCGTGACGAGCTGGGCTCCGCTCCCGTCTCTGCACTGTCGGTCTGACCCACTGAAGGGGGGGCCGTGTTTTCAGCCCCGCCGCTGCCCACCATACTCCCCACGTCTGTATTTTGACAGGGTCCCCTTTGGTTGTCCTCAGAATCACGACAGGCTTTCTGCACAGATCCTGTGCTTCTGCAGGAAAACGGGGGCGGCTCTGCCACCTTCGGGGGCTGCTCGTCGCCGCTCTGCAGGCTGTGCGCGCTGGTCTGCGCGGGCGCGGGGTGGAGGAAGAGGCTCCGAGGCAGAGAACTCTGCACCCCGGGCGGTTTCCCTCTGCCCTGGAGGCAGGGGCAGGGGTGGAAGTGCGGGCCGGGGGGCACGAAGCCCTCGGGGGCTCGCTGTGCCGCCGTCACAGGCCCGCCGTTCTGGGCGTGCAGGAAGCCGCTGGCAGCACGGGCACACTGGGGGCACAAGCAGTCGCCCAGCTGCTGGCAGGAGTGCGGGCTGTGCTTCAGACGTTTGTAGGCATTTGGGCAGCTGCATCTCTGACTCAGAGAGAAGAAGTGACGCAGGGCGTGCTGTTCGAGGGCGGGCTGCAGCAGGGCGGCGCTCGGCTCGTGGCCCGGGCTCCCGTCCAGCTCACTGCCGACGGCGGCGGCGCGCACAGGCGTCCCCGGGCCCTTCGCCGGGCCGCCCGGGAACTCGGAGCAGACGTGCGTCTCCTCGTAGGCCGGCTTCTCGGGGGCGGCGCAGCCGTGGGCCGCCAGAGGCTCCAGCTCATAGAACTCATGCTCTGCGTCGGATTTCTGGCCCTGGGGATCTATGTGGTGAGCATTCAGGGCGTGTGCTTTGCTCTGCCCCTTGTCACCAGGACTTGGAGACAGGCTGTGGGAGAAGGCACTGCACTGGAGCGTTTTGGGGAGCGGAATCTGGCCACAGGCGCCCTGTGGCCCGAGGCACCGGCACATGCACTGGAAGAAGAAGGTGGCGAAGGCCCAGCTGATGCACATGGTGAGCATCATGAAGGTGCCCAGCTGCGTGTAGGCCAGGACTGCGGACGGCATCATCATGGCCCCGGCCACGAAGGTGGTCAGGGCAGCCATGGCGATCGCGGAGCCCATGCGGCTCAGGGAGAAGACCACCTTCCCTTCGCGGTCGGCGTCCGGGGCCAAGCGGTAAGCAACCCCATAATGGACGGCGAAGTCTACGGATAAGCCAACCGCCACCGAAATAGTGACAGACTCCAAAACGTTTAGCTCCCAGCCCAGCAGGACAAGGGAACCCACAGTAACAAATATGGTCCCAGCTATTGAGATGATGGCGTACAGGCTGATGATGATGTTGCGGGTGGTGAGCAGCATCACACTGAAGGCCACGGCCACCGAGAGCCCCATGGCGATGAGGGTGCCGTCGGAGAGGCTGTCCTGGAGGTCGTAGAACTCCAGGTTGCTGACGAACCAGCCGCGGCTGAGGCCCTCGGGCGCTGAACTCAGCTCGCTGGAAATCCACGCTTCCACTTCTTCGTAAAACTGGCGCATCTTCTCATAGGCCAGCGTGAAGAGGTGGGTACTCTGGAACTCCAGGACGACCGCCCTGATGGTGTCGTTGATATCGAACCTGGGCCCCGGGGTCTTGCTGTCCAGGTGGTACCCCGTGCTCCTCTCCAGCTCCATGATGGCTCTCTTCATGCACAGCTCGAAGACCTCCTGCTTGTAGGGGAAGCTCCAGCGGCTGCAGCAGGGGTACAGGGCCGGCTCATCGCAGTCCTGGTTCTCCATCCAGCGCTTGAAGGTCTCAATGAAGCAGCTGGTGAAGTCCTGCTCGTCCGTCTGGTAAAAGAACGTTTGGTTTCTCAGCTTTTGGCAGAAGTGCAAAATCCAGACCTGGGAAGCCGGGCTCGCGATGTTAAAACTGCTGTCTAAGGTCAACTTCCCTTTGCTCTTGGGGTTCAGTGGGTTACCGTTGTCCTCCGGGGACACCCCCCAGATCACCGTGATGGGCATGTGCAGCTCCTCTCCGTGGTGGACCCGTTCAAACATGAAAAGCTTTTTGTACTCAGCATCGTAACGCTCGAAAGGGTGAGAGGACCGGAAGACCTGGAACTCGGACAGCTCCAGGGACGGCAGTTTCATCTTCGGGTTCACGCACACGATGTAGGCGCCCCCTACAGTGAGGGCAAGGAACCAGAACAGCCACAGGTAGCGAAACTTAATGACAATGCACGGCAACACCTTTTCGAAAAAGATCCGGGAGGCTTCTGAGACGGCAAACAGCACTTTGTGGCACTTCTGGCGAGTCGCGGTCCAGCAGCTTTTGTTATCGTACATTTGCTGCTGGGTCTTCCGGAAGCAAGTGAATATGTTCAGCAGGTACCGCTCGTGCAGCACGACCGCGGCGGGGAGCCACGTGACCATCAGAACGTAGTTCACCAGGATCGCGGTCCCCGCGTAGACGCCGAAGCACCTGATGGCCGTGATGTTGCTCACGTAGTTGGCGTAAAAGGCGGCCGCGGTGGTGAAGCTGGTGACGAACATGGACAGGGCCGCGTGCTGCAAGGTGATGCTCACTGTTTCTGAAGTTTCAGCATGGGGCTTGTCGAATTTGGTGTAGTTCCAAACGTCACACAGGACAAACGCATCGTCTGCCCCGATTCCCACCAAAATGATGAGCGCGGTGAGGTTCATAAAGGGGAAAAACTCGAAGTTAAACACCACGCGGTAGAGAAAATAGGAGACGATCAAGGAGCTGATGATGGCGAACATCGTCATCAGCGTGATGAACACGGACTTGGTGTAGACACACATGACCGACAGGACGATGGCGATGGCGATGGCGGGGTACACGGTGTCCATCAGAAGGTAGTCCTGAAACAAGCTGTGCTTGATCCCGAACTCGATCCCGGTGACGGTGGTGACCCCGTCGGACGCGTTCCAGTTCTCGAAGTTGTCCAGGTAAATGTTCATCATGCTCTCTCCCTTCTCGGTGGGGGAGAAGAGCATGCTGTACTTCAAGGCCGGGGCGGCGTGCTCGGCCGCCTTCGGGGTGATGAAGTCCTTGTCCACCAGGTAGTGGAGGATCTGGTACACGGCGTTGTACTTGGTGCATTTCCGCGGCACGTTGGTGCACTTGAGCTGGTCCTTCCTCCTGGCCGCCATGTCCCAGCAGTCGGGCTCCAGCGTGCCGTTCTGATAGTGTTTGGCACAGGTGCGCAGCAGCTTCAGGGTGTGGGACACGTCCCGCTCCACGATCTTCTGGCAGGACGATCGATTGTTCAGGATGGCGATGTAGTTGCCCAGCGTCCAGCTGGGGCAGCAGGAAGCGGCAGTGGTCCTCTGGCAGAGGTCGCCAAACTGGGGGTGCGCCCTGATCTGCAGAGAGAGACATGCGGAAGGGCTGTGCTTAAAATGGGGTCGCTCAAAGGCCTGGGTTAAGGTGGCCTGGAGGGACAGGGTGTCACAGAAGGGACACAGCCATGGGTGTGAACACAGGGTGAGCCTTCCCCCAGAGCTCCCCGTGGCACAGTCCTGCTAGGTTACGGTACACAAAGTACTGTTTGGGGACGACATTCGAGTGTGAAACAACTTCAAAGAATGCTGGTGTGGCTTTAAAAAGGAGTGGAAATAAACACCTCTTTTGTAAACATGCCTTTCCAAAGTCCCTTTAAAAAGCAGTAAAATGGATAAGCCTATGGTAGGCTTCTGTATGTACAGCTACAGGATTAATTAACAGAACTGTCCCATTGATTTATGAAACACATTTGTGGCTTTGCCTGGAATTTCTGGTATCAGTATGAAATTTGGGTGACGAAGGTATTACAGCTCAATAAACATAGTTGGATGCATATCCTAGAAAACTGTCCGTGAATCAAAAAGCGACTGGTGCCCGGGCCAGTGTGGCTCTTGGTGGGCGCTGTCCTGTGCCCTGAGATGTCCGTTCATTCCGGGTCAGGGCACGTGCCCGAGTTGTGGGCTCAATTCCCAGTCAGGGTGTGAGTGGGCAGCCAATCGGTGTTTTGCTCTCACATTGATGTTTCTCTCTCTCTAAAAATCAATATAAAAATCTTAAAAAAAACAATCCTCAGTGAGGATTAACAACAACAACAAAAAAAACCAACCAACCAACCAACAAAAAAAACCCTTTGGGGAGAACTTCCTCTTCTGGTAACCGGGCTCCGCTGCACATTATCAGCAAGTGTGACCAGTCCTGGTTTCACGTGGACAGTATTTCATTAGACACTATTCCTGGAGAAGCTTTTCTGCTGATGGCTGTGCTTGTTATGGAAAATGGAAAGATTGTCCCAGGGCCAACCTGGCATTGCTAATTCATCCAGAAGCCTGTCCAATTCCCTTGCCTTCAAAGTCTGAAGATTACACGAGTGGCCTCTCTTGCCCAAGAGTGAGAGTAAGAAATATTCCCCTTCTCTTGAGCCTGTTCAGAGACTTCTCTTTAGAAGCACCGGAGCTACAGATGACCCACCCCTGTCCTGGTCCCTCATCTCTGTTGGCCAAAGGCTGTTCCAGAGAGGAAACTCCAAAGTTCAAGAAGGGTGTGAATCTTTCCCCCAGGAGGATTGAATCCATCCCTGGTCTTTATTAAAGTGGGCTTTACCAATCATGCACTGAAAAATCTTCTCGAGGTGGAGATGTTGGCACAAATGATCTCTTTGGAACTTAGACTTATTGAAGAACCAAGTCATTTACAAGGCTCTACCCCTGGTTATCAAGATACATAGTAAAGCCCTGGCCAGTTTGGCTCAGCGGTTGGAGCGTCGGCCTGCGGTCTGGAGAGACCCGGGTTCGGTTCCCGCTAAGGGCACGTACTTCGGTTGCAGTTTGTTCCCGGCCCTGGTTGGTCATGCGGGTGGCAGCCACTCGATGTGTCCCTTCACATCGATGTTTCTCTCTCTCTCTCCCTTCCTCTCTCTCCCTCCCACTCTATCTGTACAAAAAATGGAAAAATATCCTCGGGTGAGGATAAAAAAAAAAAAAAAAAAAGATACATAGTGAAGTTCTGGGGGAGTCAAAAGTTATATGTGGATTTTTGATAGCATAGGGAATTGGCGCCCCTAGACGCCCTGTTGTTCAAGGTTAACTGCACTTTACTGGGACTAAGCCTGGGATGAGGTGTAGTGTAGATGAAATAAGACTGGCCAGGTACCGGGAACTGCTGAAGTCAGGAGACGTCCATGAGAAGGATCAGTCTATTACTCTACTTCTGCATCTTTTTAAAAATTTCCATAATAAAAAGTTTTGTTTTTAAAGCTACTCTGTTGGGGGTAAAAAAAAGAAGAAGAGCCAAAAGAGTTACTTATTCAAGTGTACTAAATTAATGTTTGTTTTAATAAAGCCTTCATCTTTAAGCTCTCTCCTAAAGAGAGATAACTAATTACCTGACATTTCACAAAACCGGATAATTCATATTTAGCTGTTTCCAGTGAAGACACTCACGTGTGCTGAGTCAGGGGGACAGAACCGCCTGGCAACCACCAGGAAACTCCCAGAGCACCTCTGGTTTCCATGGCAGATGACAGCGCCACCCTACGCAGAGATGCTGCGCAGGCCCCGCGGTCGGCCTGGGGCGGGAGGGGAGGTGAAGGGACCCGAACATCGCAGGTCCGAGGTGGAAGACAAGGAACGGCATCCACCAGGAGCCAGGGTCGGCTAGAAGGAGCCCGTTTGTGGCCGACGAAATAACCGAATGGAAGACAAAGCAAACAGGGCTGCCAGCCAAGACTGGGAAAGAGAGCGAGGAGCCTGTCCTTGGATGACCTTTACAAATAATGGCAGGTTTTCTTATTTTCTTCACGAGCGTATTTGACCAAAGATTAAAAAGTTGGACAAGATCAGCACAGACCAAATACTACTTGGGTGGCCACTATAAAAAATAAATGCTAGCCCTGGCCGGTTTGGCTCAGCAGTTGGAGCAGCGGCCTGTGGACCAGAGAGTCCTAGGTTCGGTTCCCGCTGAGGGCATGTACCTCGTTGCAGTTTGTCCCCGGCCCCGGTTGGTGTCGTGTGGGTGGCAGCCACTCCATGTGTCTCTCTCACATTGATGTTTCTCTCTCTCTCTTCCTCCCTCTTTCCCGCCCACTCTATCTGAAGGTAAATGCAAAAATGTCCTCTGGTGAGGATTAAATAAATAAATGAATGCTAGTAGGCTTCTGGAGAGCCCGTCCTCAAATTTGAAGGGGGTGCTGGCTGATGGACAACCTCCGAAAAGCACTTTTCGAGGATACTTACAGGGTAAGAAATAAGAACAGAGGAAAGACTTCATGCCTGGTACACCCAGCTGGAATCGGAAGCCAGTGCCCTGATGCCCTGAGTCTAAAGGAACAAAGTGGAAGGAACTGTCTAGGTGTTCAGGAGTGAGGGCATCTGTTCCGTCCGTCTGTCTGTCCATCCGTCCATCCATCCATCCATCCATCCATCCATCCATCCAAGAGGAAAAAGTAACTGACACCTATACAAGATGAATAAGGCATAGTGGTCCTTGCCCTCAAGTCACTCATAAGTGTGGCAGGGAAATCAGACAAGAAAATCACTAATTACAATTCAATGTGAGAAGTTCCATACTAGGTGGGTCTGTGTGGACCTGCGGAGGCAACGCCGATGAGGAAGCGTGGGACATGGCCGGACTCAGCTGCGGTGACCAGACAGCTCACACACAGTGAGGAAGAGTGGGACATGGCCGGACTCAGCTGCGTGTGACCAGACAGCTCTCACACAGTGAGGAAGAGTGGGACATGGCCGGACTCAGCTGCGGTGACCAGACAGCTCTCACACAGTGAGGAAGAGTGGGACATGGCCGGACTCAGCTGCGTGTGACCAGCCAGCTCACACACAGTGAGGAAGAGTGGGACATGGCCGGACTCAGCTGCGGTGACCAGACAGCTCTCACACAGTGAGGAAGAGTGGGACATGGCTGGACTCAGCTGCGTTGACCAGACAGCTCACACACAGTGAGGAAGAGTGGGACATGGCCGGACTCAGCTGCGTGTGACCAGACAGCTCACACACAGTGAGGAAGCGTGGGACATGGCCGGACTCAGCTGCGTGTGACCAGACAGCTCACACACAGTGAGGAAGAGTGGGACATGGCCGGACTCAGCTGCGTGTGACCAGACAGCTCACACACAGTGAGGAAGAGTGGGACATGGCCGGACTCAGCTGCGTGTGACCAGCCAGCTCACACACAGTGAGGAAGAGTGGGACATGGCCGGACTCAGCTGCGTGTGACCAGACAGCTCACACACAGTGAGGAAGAGTGGGACATGGCCGGACTCAGCTGCGTGTGACCAGACAGCTCACACACAGTGAGGAAGAGTGGGACATGGCCGGACTCAGCTGCGTGTGACCAGCCAGCTCACACACAGTGAGGAAGAGTGGGACATGGCCGGACTCAGCTGCGTGTGACCAGACAGCTCACACACAGTGAGGAAGCGTGGGACATGGCCGGACTCAGCTGCGTGTGACCAGACAGCTCACACACAGTGAGGAAGCGTGGGACATGGCCGGACTCAGCTGCGTGTGACCAGACAGCTCTCACACAGTGAGGAAGAGTGGGACATGGCCGGACTCAGCTGCGTGTGACCAGACAGCTCACACACAGTGAGGAAGAGTGGGACATGGCCGGACTCAGCTGCGTGTGACCAGCCAGCTCTCACACAGTGAGGAAGAGTGGGACATGGCCGGACTCAGCTGCGTGTGACCAGCCAGCTCTCACACAGTGAGGAAGAGTGGGACATGGCCGGACTCAGCTGCGTTGACCAGACAGCTCTCACACAGTGAGGAAGAGTGGGACATGGCCGGACTCAGCTGCGTGTGACCAGACAGCTCACACACAGTGAGGAAGAGTGGGACATGGCCGGACTCAGCTGCGTGTGACCAGACAGCTCACACACAGTGAGGAAGAGTGGGACATGGCCGGACTCAGCTGCGTGTGACCAGACAGCTCACACACAGTGAGGAAGAGTGGGACATGGCTGGACTCAGCTGCGTGTGACCAGACAGCTCACACACGGTCGTGTTACCCCGCGGCTCCTAGAACCTGGCAAGCAGGTGTTTCTTCACGCAGAGGGGCTATATTTCTGCCACATTTCGGGGAAAGGAATTCATAGAATGCTTTCAAGGTCTTGGACATTTATAAAAATAAGTTAGTGAGAGCATTTTCTTGTAACTCTCAGGAGCGGTGTAACTCAACTCTAGGCATTCACGATGGGCGGTTTCAGAAGGCCGGGCTGCCTGCGTGGTTACAGCCTGTCCCTGCTCATGCCCTAGTTAGATAGTAGCAGGGGTGGGGCTGGCTAAAAATAAGGGGGGAAGGACAAGGAGAGAAAAAGAAGAAACCAGCAGAGTTTTAAATAATACCTTCACTTTCAAAATTAGTGGCTAAGTTGGAGGTATTTTAAGAGGCTAAGAAAAAAACTAAAGGAGGAAATTAACCCCTAATACCAGGTTCTAGTCCCTGCTGGACTCGCCATCCCCACGTGACCTGGCCTCGTGTACGACAAGTTGAAGGGACCTACAGAGAAAAGAAAAAACAAGGACTCCACAGTCTTCCTTAAATCAAGCACGGCGGGGGGGGGGGGGGGGTCCCCAGCTGTCCACAAAATTTACCCTAGAAAACGGGTCCGAGGCACCAAATTCCAAACCCCTTTGGCAGCTGACAGCTCCGAGTTCCAACTCCGACAATGTGCGAAGACTAAAAACGGGGCAAAGGGTTTCCGGCAGAGTCAAGATGAGAGAAACACACGTCTGGGTACTGGTGGCCAACCACCAGCGGGTCCCCAGGATGTCAAAGCACAGGAGAAAGTGAGGGGGAGACAGGGGCGGAAGTGTCAGGGGCACTGTCAAGAGGGAGCGGCAGCGGCAGAAACGGAGGCCCGCACGGCGCAGGGCGAGGCTGTCTGAACTCGGGGTCCGTGGCTTGTCAAGGAAACGGGAGCCAAGTGACTCCGTGTGCTTGTCGTCACCACCGCAGACGACAATGGAAGCATCTGACCTCATTGAAACATCACACTGATGACCGGACGTTTTCTGGAGTCAACCTACCGACAATTAAGCTCTTCTGCTCCGTACCATTTTGGTGCGACAACATGGTAGTTGTTAGTAACCAGGTGCTTAAGTACAATACTAGCATTGGGCGGGGGCAGCCGAGTAGCCTTGGGACACAGTTTGCTCAAACCACAACAAATAGTCCTAAAAGGGTCCTGAACTGGGAGACTAAAAGAAAAGGTACAGTAATAATGTTAAATCTGAACTTCTAACCAGGAATTAGATACCACTGAATATCTTATCCCTGTTGAGAAAGGGTTACTATTCTGGGTTCAAAGCAGAGTTTGAGACTAGAATACAAAGGTGTTAGCAGTTGTTTAAGTGGCAACCCTACCCGCTAAGGTACAGTCTGGGGACCTTGATCTAGTTATTCATTTGCTGATGTAGATTTCTAACTGGCTTGACCAGTCCCTGAGATCTGAGTCTTGGGTAGACCACAGTGCTTCTGGTGTTCTTGCTGCAGATTACGAACTTGGCCTCATTGCTAGCCAATCCTTGTCATGAGCCCAGTGGAGAGAAATACCCGAAGCAGAGTGCGTCCATTCCCTCGGATAGCCTACACCGTGCTAATGCATCCAGGCCACTAGAAAGCACACGTTTAGATTTCTTTGCTTTAACCCCTTGTAGAAATGCCGTCACAACAACTTCTTCCTGCTACCGACCTCCCTGAGCTGTCTACCAGCCAGCTAAGATTCATTGCTGTGTGAGCAGGCTGTCGAGAACCCTGCACCTGGCATCGTGCCTGTTAGGGGAAGCTGGGCTTCTTCTAGAAACAAGTTGGTTACCCTGTTTATATGACTTTCGTCACTAATTGTGAATCCCTTTTTGCTTTGGCTGTCAGGGAGGACAGACAAGTTTGCCGCTCACGGCTAGCAAGTGTACAGAATTACGGGTATGCGTAATTGTATGTTAAATCTCATTCTTGGTTTCATGATTTCCTCCCCATTACTTCCCCTTCATTCAACTTCTTTGTCATAATCATTCTGTATGCCTTTTTGTAAGCTATCTGTTGATGCTGGTTTTGTGAGTCTGAATATATATGAATATGAGATCATAGAGGAAATAGTATATTGCTTTCACTAAGAAAAGCTACAATGGGACAGTATTGCTTGCTGGCTGTTAAGTCTTTGAGTGTGCAGAATAAATTCCTAGCTCTTAAAATGGTCCTTATTCTAGGCCACTTGAGTAGGAAATGACTCAGGTAGTGAAACGAATTGGATGGGGTGCAATCTGCATTCTGGAGGTGTGGCACGGTGAGCAAAGGCACAGGCCAGCGGGGCTCAGCTGGGTTCAAATCCTGCACCTGCCACTTACCACCCAGGTGAACTTTCAAGGTCTATAAAACAGGCAGAATGAAAGCACTTACTTCATAACACTGTCGTGCAAATGACTAATAATTCAATGATCGATTAAATAATTCGTTCAAGTGTTTAGAACGATTCCTGGCAGACATCAACAACACTCAGTAAACATCAGCTATTAATCAACTGTGTGAGTTCAGTCGCTTCAGAGTCTGTCTTCAGGGGGGGAAGGTCTAAAGATCAACTGTGAAGATAGGATAGCAAGAACCAGGAGGAGCCCTGGCCGGTCTGGCTCAGCGGTTGGAGCGTCGGCCTGCGGTACAGAGAGACCCGGGTTCGGTTCCCGCTAAGGGCACGTACCTCGGTTGCTATTTGTCCCCAGCCCTGGTTGGTCGTGCGGGTGGCAGCCACTCAATGTGTCCCTTTCACGTCGATGTTTCTCTCTCTCCCTCCCACTCTATCTGAACAAAAAATGGAAAAATGTCCTTGGGTGAGGATAAAATAATAATAATAATAATAATAATAATAAAGAACCAGGAGGTGTGGAAGGTGAACTGCTCTCATCCAAGGCTCATTAGCCAGGAGCCAGACCAGCTTATACAGGCGCTAGTTTCCAGGGCCACGGCGGGGTGAGCAACAAGCACGAAGCCCAGGCTTGCACGGAGCAGACACTCCACACGTCTACCTCTCCAGAGTTCCCTCTCTACGTAAGAGGGTGGCAACCACCACCCACGACAAAGAAAAACATGTTCATAGCTTCCAAATAATGAACTGATCATTGAGGGAGAGAAGAAAACCTGGCCAGTAAAAACTGACCACTGATGAGAAACTGTTGTCCGTTTACGGGTGGACTGTGCCTTTGGACTATTTGGAGTTAGACAGAGAAAAGATGGCACGCGCCGAAAATCCTGACAGCTCAATCCATGGGGAAGTTATTTTCAAAATGTACAGACAGCCTCTCAGAATGAAGAAGAGAGTTAGGAGATCTGGGGTCAACTGACCAGCCTGGTAAGCCGCTTCGTTCTCGGACGGTACTTATATCGGCACAATGAGACTGCTGGCCCGGGCGGTCTCAGACTCCTTTCTGCGTATTCCTTTAAGAACGCTGCCGTGAGAACAGGGGGCTAGCTCTTAGCACTGCATGTGATTAGATTTGCAACTGAACAGTGATTCTGCGTCTTAGAGCGATGCTAAGAGTGCAATGAGTTCCTTTTCTGCCTGGTCGCTGTGCTATGACAGGTCCATCGGTGCCATCAGACAGCAGTTTCTGCTGGGAGGGGCAGCCCCACGCCCAGAGGGCCTCTGCGTGTCCTGGGCTGACAGCGCTGTGGCTCCAGGAGACTACGCAGGAAGCCTGTGTCCCTGCTTCCTTCTGTCTTCCCAGGTGTTTGCTGCAGCACAGGGCAATCTGGCTTGGATTACTCGGGCCATTTGCATAGATGCTGTCTTCCTAACCTTTGATGTCCCTTTCCCCAGCCTGTGCCCTAAATTTCCCTTTGAGGTCACAGGCCCAAAGGACTCACTGATTGCTCGAAAGGCCGGCATTTCACTGTATAATTAAGATGCTGACAGTTGCCTCGGGGGAAGTTTAGTGAACAATGAAAGCAGATTAGGAAAAGAAAATATGACAAAAGAAGGAAAAAAGTCTTCGCCTCATCCTGAAAGGGGATCTGCTGGGAAAGGACACAAAGGCTGGTGGGCAGAGGACAGGAGAGAAGGAAACAGTTCTTTATTCAGGAAGGTGGGCTGCTGGGTGGGGAGCAGACACTTTGATCCCAGATCTAAGGCGGGCGGGCCTGCTGGCGCTCAGTCCCCAGCAGGTTCGCACCGTCAGCACTTCCATCCATCAGAGGGCTCAGCAGTCAGAGGAGGTGCAAAGAGACCGCCTCATCTGTGCTAAACGGAACTCAGTTCTCCTTTACGTACCCTTGAATTATCTACATTGCACATGGATTTAATTGCTGGTAAATTCCATAATGTCTCCCCTCCAGCTGAAGTGAATACCACTCTGGAATATCGGTCACCTGGTGATACAAAAAAAGAGAAGAAAAATGGTCATAAATTATTCATGTATTTCATAAGGCTTGACATTTAGAAGCAACTCAAACTGGGAAACCACATGGACAATTCTTTAGTGGCAGGGGAGCCTTTCCCTCGACAAATTCCGGGAGAGAGGGTTTTTGAAGAAAGGCAATGCTATCACATTGTCAGCTCAAAGCCTTTGCCTACTCACTACATCTTAGAAACCAGAGCATCACAGTGTAATTACGAAGAACAAGCCATAAGAACTTTCAGCAGGCAGTTAATTGAATGCCCCCTCTTAATTTCACAACACATCACCGTAATGGTATATGAAATCAAAGAATGATGCACTTGGGAGTCAAGGATGGATTATAGGATGTTCTCTTTGGCAGCTAACTAGAGAGGAGAGATGGCAGGTGATCGATTTAAAAGCACCAGAAACAGTCAACGAAGCACAGACTGCTGGCCAGGATCTCAGACGCCCTCCATGTTCTGGTGGAGAACATGGTCTCCCTGCTACACCAGTCTAGAAAACATTTTGAAAATCATACTGGTATCAGATGTTTCTGAATGAGGGAGGCTGTGTGATGCTGGGGGGGGGGGGGGGGGGAGGGAGAGGGCGTGGCCTCAGAGTTAGAACTCAGTGTAACCAGGTCTAGTGATTCCCCAGCTGGGTGGTCTTGGACAACCAACTTCTCTAGGCCTTAGTTCCTCACTGGTTAAATGGAGACAGCAACAGCATCCCAATTAGCTGTGAGGATTAAATGAGATAATAAAAAATAGGTGCTCAGTAAGGACTGTTTCTGCTTGCTCAGCCATTACAAAAAATCTGAACCAAGTAAAACAAAATAGATGAGTTTCACACTATCTAAAAAGCCGAATTGTGCTAACAAAGAAAATCAACTTGCACATGTATGAATAAAGCTTTATTACATGAGTATATAAAGTTTGTTCACGAGTATATAAAGTTTTCTTTAGTAAACTCTTGTCTTCATCAACTGGCTGTTACCTTACATTGATTGATTTTACAGATCAAAATAAGCCTTGTGGAACATTTCATTCAAGTCGAGTCAGAAATGACTTTATCAGGGCAGAATCTACTACTTATGAGACAAATGATGACTGAAATGTAAACAAGACTGTAGTTTATGAATTTGCTAATGTTCTTCCTGGTTAAGATATTCACCACCAGACAGATGCTGGTTAAGCAATTTACAGTAACACTTTGAGAGAAATAAACTAGCCAGAACATGAAACTGACCAGAGCCCAACTTTTCAAATAAGAGAAGAAACTTGCATTGCTTCCCGAGATCAGTAAAAAATTCTCCCTAATCTCCGACTTTCTCTCTCTCTATTACTAAATAGTAAACCAGTGTTCAAAACAAAGACCCCGAGGCTTGGCAAGATCTAGAAACATCAAAGAGCCAATCAGGTCTTCTAGTGATCAGATCAGACAGGAAGCTACACATTTTAGAGGGATTTTCAACAACAACAAAAAACCTAAAATCCAAAGAGCTTTAATGTTACTATTCACTGCTAGAAACAAATTATCCACAATTCCTCATTCCTAATCTAGGGCTTGTCAGTGACTTACATCCTTAGATCCATTTCCTCCAGGCCATGTACTCCCTCCTCCAAGGCTGCTGCAGATTTTCAGGGAATTTGCTGCCAACATTAAAATCTGGATTCCTGACTTCAGGGCAGTTATAATATCGGGGCTCTCGTTTCTTTAAGGGCACATTCTACTGCAGAGTAGCAACTGATTTCTCCCCCAGAGGTGCCCTGTGGCTCCCCATGACCATCACTTCCTACTGCCTTCTGGTCTGCTAGCTTCACTCATTCATATCATGACCTAGGTCCCTGTGATACTCAAGCTTTAGGCTTCTGGACGTGATTTTGTTTCTCTATCTCTAAGGCCTAATGACAAGGCAGGCACAGATGCTTTTGAATGAATCAAAATGGAAAAAAAAACAACTATGTTTGGTCATATAGTAGATGATTTCAGGGCTCAATCCCAAAATATGTACTTGTTCCTTAAGCTATTTTTTAAAATAGTACAAGGAATTTTGAAAAGTGACTTGAAATTGGGGCCAGGTCAAGAATTTTATTAGATTTATATCTCCTTAAAACTGAATGTAGCTCAATCTCTTTCTTATTAATTTTCCCTCTAGATAAACACCTTCAGATTAGTGGTTGTCTGACCTAGAGAAGAAAATGACAAGTTCATGAAGCTAATATCTCCTTAAGTAAGACAGAAACAGTGAAGCTGTGTGCTAGCCACACACTTCCATCAGTCCAGACTTTAATCCTGTTCCATCTCAAGAGGGCTAGGAAGCCACTGAGGGGCTTGATCATCTATAAACGCCACTCACTTGGAACGTCGCAGAAAAAGCTGTCTTTGTGGAAGTTCCAGTCGACTTCTCTCTTTTCTCTTTCGTAATGGTCATCTGACCATCTGTCATCCCGGTGGCTGGAAGAGAACAAGCTGATCTTCAGTCAAGTGCTGGCTATTGCCAGGCCCAGGAGCTGCCTGTAACAGCACGTCCTCAAAGGCACGGCCTATTTAGCACTTGAAACTAAGTCGGAAGGATTAATATAAGCCACCAACATTAATTTTCTCACTTTTGGAAAAAAAGAGAAAAGCCCCCAAGCCCTCACTTTTTTTTTTTTTTTTGGTATGTGCCCCTAGCGGGAATCGAACCCGGGACTCTCTGGTCCACAGGACGACACTCCAACCACTAAGCCAAACCAGCCAAAGCTCTCGCTCTTCATTCCAATACAATAAACTCTTACTAGACAACGACAATTTAAACAAGGTCTTGAGCCACACATTTTACATTATTCTTTCTTGCTCAGGTGGTATTTAAAAGGGAAATTCATTAGCAATGTTTTATCTGAAAGTTAACAAAGGATTACCTTTTGGCTTGCTCATCTGCATATTTAAAGGGATAATTGGCTAACGTTGCTTTGTATCCTGTATTTTTCACCATGTTATTCCACGTGACCAGTCTCTGGCCTATTGTAGTCCCTCTTGGTTCAAAACCCTAAGGCAAAAAATAATCACAAATTTCCATCAGTGTACTTCATTTCAGGCTCCGGGTAGTAAGCAGCTGGGGAAAGCAATGTCTAGGCGATGAATAGCTTTCAACCGAAAATACAGATGTTCCTCAGGACTACTCCAGAGGTGACCAGCATGGACACAAGATGACTTAACATGGCAATGATCACCTATTTACTGTGACAAAACAGTTTGATTCTTTAATATGCTACATGTCTCAGGAAAAAGGGAAAAAAAAAACACCACCTTATCGGAAGCTTCTCTTTCAAATTCATACCTAAGCATTTAGTAAATACTTACTTTTAGGTTATAAAATATTATGGTCAAAGTAAATTATATTGTGCATGTTACAGTGTTTTACAAAGAGGATGCCATTATCCTTGCTCATATTTCCCTCATTATTCCACTCCAGAGGAACATTTACTTAAAAACAGACCTTGCTATCTCTTAGTAGTGCTGAAATTCCTTTAGCTTCTTTTGGGGGGAAAAAGAGACAGTTTAAAGACTTTATGAAAACATTTTGGTAGTATAATACAAAGATTCTCCAATTTCTTGCTTTTTAGCTTAAACATAGGGACCAAAAAGCAAAATTTCCCGATTTTTCATGGTGGACACCTTTCTTGACCTTTAAGGACCTGAGAATACAGAGAAGACATGTTTCTACTTTGCACAAAGAGAGCTGTACACCCACTAATGGCTTAAGAAGGTTTTTAAAAAAATGGGATCCTAAATAACAAAATGCAATTTGTATCAACATACTTAATTTTTCAGAGATGGTTTTGGGCTAAAGAAAGCAGATAAACAAACGCCGCGGGCTCAGCCCTCCTTACCAGCAGTGGGTCAGAGAAGTCAGGGAGCTCTGGCACTAACACTCCCACCAAGGCACAGACCACGATGAACACCGTGCACATGCCCAGGACCACCACGGGCCAGTCGGCTATCAGGGCTGCATAACTACAGAAGCAGAGAGAAATCACAAAGAAGGCCTCTTAGGAGCAACAGAGAGCTTTTTGCTACCTAAGAGAGTAATTCGGTTAATCCTGGTATGTCCAACCCAGTACAGGTATTTATGAGTAAAAGATCTGATGACATTATAAGTGTTTGTGTGTAATTACAGTAAAGAGTATGTGAATATAGAAAATCACAGGATCACTGTCCTCTCATTTCTGTGATAACGTAGCTGTGGTCATGTGCCACGGGCCACCAAGAGTCAGAAAACTGTCTGCTTCTTTTTTTTTATCCTCACCCGAGGACATTTTTCCATTTTTTGTTCAGATAGAGTGGGAGGGAGAGAGAGGAAGAGAGAAAGAGAAATATCAATGTGAAAGGGACACATCGAGTGGTTGCCACCCGCACAACCAACCAGGGCCGGGGACAAACTGCAACCGAGGTACATGCCCTTAGCGGGAACTGAACTCGGGTCTCTCTGGACCACAGGCCGACGCTCTAACTGCTGAGCCAAACCGGCCAGGGTGAAAACTGTCTATTTCTGACACCATGTTCTATCTACATCTGCGCCTGGGAAGAGAAGAGGTAAAATGTACACTTCCTAAGTGGAAAGAACATATACTCTAACAGAGGATCCAAACTCCTTGCTGTCTCTTCCAGAAATCTGGTTGTCTGGTTATTCCCTTTCTCTATACTTCTACTCTGTAAGTCCTGGAAAAAGAACTCAGCTCATAAACAGGTTCATGGAGTGTAGATCTTAAGAATAACTGAATCAGCCCAGCCGGTGTGGCTCAGTGGTTGAGCATCAACCCATGCACCAAGAGGTCGCCGGTTCAATTCCCAGTCAGGGCACATGCCCAGGTTGTGGGCCTGATCCCCAGTGGGGGGCATGCAGGAGGTGGTCAATTGATGTTCTCTCTCATCGATGTTTCTATCTCTCGGTCCCTCTCCCTTCCTCTCTCTACAATCAATGAAGAAAAAAATTTCTTTAAAAAGAATAACTGAACCAAACCAAAAACATCCCCTAAACCTGGAACTTTCCTTCTAGCTAAAACTATAATGAACAGATCCACTGGACTGTGAGTTCCGTGAGGCAGAGATTTTTGTTTTATGTTTTTGTTTCGTGTAGTATCAGAGCCTGGAACAGTACCTTTTAAAAGGTACTCGATAACTATCTATGGATTCGATGAACAGACACCCTGTACCTACTACCCTCCCTTCACTGCCAACCGCACAGCCTGGCGTTAGCCTCTCCCCACACCTTGGAAACCCCTCTCCGCTACCCAATTCCACCATCGAGACATTTCCTCCAGACACCTTCCCACACCCCCCTTCGCCACCTCCGACGAAGACCGACTTCTGCTCCCTTCCTCCAGATCCTGGACCAGCCTTATTATCGGGACACTTCCAGATCTTGAGATGAACTGAGTGCCCAGTCAGTGCCTGACTGCACCGAACTTTTTCTAAAATGCAAAATCGATCTTGCCAACTTCAGGTTTCTTGAGGTTTTATTATAGAAAAAAGAAACACTTCACTAGCGGACAATTGCTCTCAGGTTCTCACTGATGCCAGTTCACTGGGCGGCTGGGAGGGCTGCTTCGGGCTCACCTGGAACCGGCTTCTTACTCGTGTACCTGTGGAAGCTTCCTAAGCACCATGCTGGAGGGGCACTGACGGGGGCCGGTGGCTCATTGCCATTCTGCAGAAAGCTGCTGTGTGTCTCCAAGGAGAGACTGTTGATGTTTATATTCTAATCTTGCAACTTCACAGATCTGGCTTTGTGGGGATATTTACTTCTGACTCTATTTTAATAAGAAAACTAAACTCTAACATAATTGTGCCTTCAGGGAGTACTGGCACAGGTATTTTTCATTGTTCTTTTCAAAGTAATCTTAGGGCCCCAAGAGTGTGTGTGGCTCAGTGCACTGACAGGTCCTAGTTCGATTCCTGGTCAGGGCACCTGCCTTGGTCGAGAGCTCGATCCCCAGTAGGGGGCGTGCAGGAGGCAGCTGATGGATGTTCTCTCTCTCGCATCGATGTCTCTCTCTCTCTCTCTCTCCCCCTTCCTCTCTCTCTAAAAAAAGCAATAAAAACATATTTAAACAGTAAAAAATAAATAAAAGTGATCTTAGGAAAATAAAGCATGATCACTTGCACTTACTAGGAATTCCTTTATACAGATTATCATCTCATCTAATTCTCACAACTTTGTAAGATGAAACCGAGGCACAGACCGTGAAATAACTTGCTCAAAGTCACAAAGCTTGCCCGGCTATATAATAAATAAGTCATGGGAGTGAAATACACAGCATGGTGACTACAGTTATTCACACTGTATTGTGTATTTGCCAAAATAAAAGTTCTCATCACAAGAAAAAAATGTGTGTGGTGATTGCTGTAAATTTACTGTGGTCATTGTTTTGCAATATATACAATATCAAATCATTATGTTGTACACCTAAAATTAATAAAATGTTATCCCAATTGGATCTCAATAAAAAGAAGTCCCAAAGCTTGGCATCAGGTAGTTTGGTTCTGGAATCTGGCCTCTTAACCACTATGATATCAGCTCTTGCTTCAAACACAAAGAAACAAAAGACATCTGGAATAAGTCAACCTGCCACAAATGCATGCTTCCCCAAATTCACAGTTTAAAATTAAATTCCTAAGCCACACTAATAGTTAATTTCTCTATGCAAAACCATCTAGACCCATTAGACTTCAAGTCTGAAGATGATTCACTAGACTGTCAATTCTGGGTTTAAAAACTCATCAAGGAAAAATTATGCTGGATAATTTAAGAGTAATTCTGAATGTAGTGAAAACATACAGATCACCATATGCTGATGGTAGTTGATCAAATGCAAACAGCACTGGTCAGAAGCATTCCGATCTCTAGAACGCTGGTGTGTGCCTATATCCTAAACACTTGATTTCCTCCTCCAGCAAATGCAAACCAGCATGGAAGTAACTTGTTTCGAGACAATCAAGTCCTTTGTCAGCAGCACACTTGAGACTTTCTCTTCATTGCTCAGACTTAAAGAGTCCTTTAGACTTTAGACCCAGACCTTTTCATTTTTTTTCCTCCTCACCAAAGGATATTTTCCCATTTATCTTCAGACAGAGTGGGAGGGGGAGAGAGAGAGAGAAAGATCGATGTGAGAGACACATTGATTGGTTGCCTCCCAAATGATCCCAGCCAGGGCCGGGGACTGAAATGTAACCAAGGTACATGTCCTTGAGCAGAATCGAACCCGAGACCCATTGGTCTGCGGGCCGATGCTCTAACCGCTGAGCCAAACTGGCCAGGGTAACACTTTCCACCTTTAAAGTATCAGCCTCCCCACCCCCATGAAAATGGCCTCAGGCTCATACAATGACTCATTATACTTTATTTTAAATGGATCAATTTTCTTTCAAATGAGCCAGAAATCACTCATTTTTACCTACAAACATGTTGTCAACAGAGGGCAGTGGGCCCCAAATGGCTTAGCTTTCATACTGCGGTTCAGTTTACCCACATAATGACTTTTTGTTTTGTGTTCTCGAAAAATCTGCACACACATGCATGGCGACCTCAAAAGACGTGCTGTGAGAATTGCCTTTCTTCCCTTCGACAGCGTTGGCTTTGATTTTTCAGCGCGGTGACACACGACGTGTGCATGGACGACAGAGGGAGACGAGGCCTCGGACCGCAGCACACGTCTTCGTGCTCGCTCACCTTACTACCTCACCACTCCACTTCCCCCCGGGCTCCCCCATGCTGACCTGTCCAGGACACTGGTCACACCAAAGAAGTGCCGTCAACGTCCTGAGGACACACGGCAGCCTGGGGGAAGCCCCAACTCCTCTGCCTGACCTTGACCCAGACGCATCTCCAAGTACCACAATGTTGCTGAGGGCGTTCTGCTCCTCCTCTGTCTGTGCTAAGCTATCACACCAGGGGGTGTGATTCGGGCACCAGGGGGAAACAACGTGTCAAGCACAATACGGATGCAGACAAGGGCTGTGACAGTCAGGTACATCTAGTAAAGCGGGAAAACTGGGGACAGAAGGGAAATTGAAAATGGCCTAGAACATCTCACTAATGGCCTAGAACATTAGTTTTCTCACTAATTCCACTCCTGGTGAGTCCAGGTTCAAGGCACATATTCTAACTGAGTTCAGAGAAGAAAGTACTTGAGCATCATTTTCTTTGGAAAGTGGACCACAGGTACGGTAGAAGAACTTTGTAAAGGGCCACTCCTTTCACTAGAATACATCCTTCTGCATCTCATACAGTGCTTGTCGCTCGTCTGCCTGTTCTGACTTTGGAGATCCCTAGACAACACAACGTACTAGTAAACGCAACCCACCCCTGTAAAATTAAAAAGAGAGTTAGCAAGTGGATTTCAAAGAGCACTTCGAGTTTCTTAAGGTGTAATAATATCACATGGCAAAGGACAAGCACATCTGATGAGCCAATACTTTTTTCAGGAACTCTTATCCATTTACAATTTTGTTCTTCCACTGAAAGGATAAAACTTTAAAATTTCCACGCAAAAGAATACCTCCATCTTCATATGGGAATAGAATTTTCTAGGGAGAAACACAGCCAACCTATTTGAAAAAAAGTCCCCTGAATTCAAGCCATGTGAACAGGTAGGACACTGAGAAGCCATCCATCACAGGAAGGACGCAAACTAACGAGGCCAATGTGCACAATGAGACACAAACAGAACTGAAAGACTGTCCGTCTACCTGGAGGTTAAGACCAACTCAGGGAACATTTCTTTTTCCTCCACGAAAGTATGAATGAGGAACGTGGAGACAGCAGCTAAGTGTGGAGAAAATACTAAAGGGGAAGAGCATGCAAGAAAGATGGTTATTTAATAAAATGATCTGGGTTACTTTACCTTTTTGGTAACTTGAAAGGTCTGGATGGTCTGGAAAAAAGCAAAGGAAAAACCATCAGAAACCAGGCATCGTAACGTGAAGGCTTAATGTCCGCAGTTAACATTTTACTCATCTCTCCTTCGGGAAGAGTCCTGGAAGAATTAGCAAGGACGACCAAGATTTTAAGCACACACGGATTTCACAGTGAATGCTGACCATCTTGTCCACCTGGTGGGAGTGCCGGAGGGCTGGTCACACCTTCCTATGGAATCGGTCACACTGTGCGACCTTCTCCAAGTCGCCAGCTACAGGTGCACTCAGCTCTCTTACCAGCATCCACACTCCTGTCTCCAGCCTAAGCTGCTTCTCACTTATCAAGGATCCTCCAACACCTTTAAAAAAACATGTATGAGCTCTGGCCAGTTTGGCCCAGCGGTTGAGCGTCAGCCTGCGGGCCAGAGAGTCCCAGGTTCGGTTCCTGTTAGGGGCTCGCACCACGAAAAAGAAAAGAAAAGAAAAACACATATGACATCGATACCTCCTTAAACTAGAACCTCTCTCTTCCTTCTGAGATGGAGAGCTGCTCCTCCACCTTCCAGTTTCTTAGCATCTAACTCCACACCCACTCAACAAGTAGCGGTGTGTGCCTCAGTGAGCTCCCCACCATGCTGTTGTTATTCCCTCTTGCACCCCATCACCACTGCCCACACAGCGGATAAGGCACCCACAGAAACTCCAAATCTGCCCGGCTGGTGTGGCTCAGTGGTTGAGCGTCGACCCTGCACCAAGAGGTCGCCGGTTCAGTTCCCGGTCGGCACAGGGTGTGGGCCCGATCCCCAGTGGGGGGCATGCAGGAGGTGGCCAATCAATGTCCTCTCTCATCAATGTTGCTATCTCTCTCTCCTTCTCCATTCCTCTCTTTCTAAAATCAATAAAGAAAAAAAAAAACTTTCTAAAAAAAACAAAAAGCAAACTCCAAATCTGACTCAGCCTCAACCGCCAAACTCTTAATTCCTACCAGAGTAAATTGTTCCCATGTTACTAGCATATGGTGAGCACTCACTCACTGTGTGGTGAACAAACCAAATTCGATGCTCATGTTCCACTGTCCCCGGCACAGTGTTTTCCTGGTGTGTTCTCAAGACTCTGGGAGTTCCTGAGACCCTCCGCTGGAGTGTCTCCCTTGTCTAGCACCATCCCTGGGTAAGGCTGGATTTTCTACATCATTTCATATACTTATTATATGGCTTTCTACGTGATTCCGTATATTTTAACCAAACAGCATACTGCAACAGACTGACTGCAGAAGCAGACTAGAGAATCCTGCTCCTAGTAAGCCACACAGCGGAGAGAACTCAAAAGTGGGAAACGATGCCAAGCATCTCACTAATGTTTTTCGTTTAGGGAGCTATATTATTTTTCATAAACCATTATGTTAGTGCATAAAGGGCTTATTATTGTTATTTTTAAGTGAGTTAAATTAAAAATTCTGAATTTCTCAGTTTCAATCCCAATATACTACATAGTCAGTATAACCCATATAAACAAAAGCTCTCTGGATCCTTAATAAGTTTTGAGTGTAAAGGGGTCATGAGATCAAAGAGTTTGATAGCCATTACAATGATACAGAGAGGGTACTTCAATATTTGCCGAATAAATGAATAAATGTCCTACTGTGTACAATCTCCTAACCTGAACTCCTCCCCCAAGGATGTCCCATATTTTGAATAAACAAAACAACTTGCAAACATCTGTCTTCCAATCTTTCTACTTTCAAGCTATTACTCTTCTAATAGTAAGAACCTTATTTTATCTTTTTTTTTTTTTTGTACGTGCCCCTAGCGGGAACCGAACCCAGGACTCTCTGGTCCGTAGGCCGATGCTCCAACCGCTGAGCCAAACCAGCCAGGGCAGTAAGAACCTTATTTTAGAATTTCTTTGAGATCTAAAGTTTTCTCTCTTATTTTCCTTCTCCATTTACATTTCTAAATTACATGTATTCATTCTTGAAAAAAGGTTTCTCTAACTCCTGGTATAGCCATGAGTGAGACCGGCAAGGCCCCAAACTTCACGGAGCTTACGTTCTAGAATGTTCTTTGCATTAATCTGTCTATTGGACAGGGACTCCAAATGTCAAGCTCTATTTACATGTCCTCATTAGGGACTCAAAAGCCATTAAAAATATTAAAATCAAGGAGAACAAACAACTTCAGAGATTGTACGCCCTGGAAACAATCTTAGATAATATGAATTCTCCATCCCAGGCCCATTTTTGAGATGGGCCTTTGTTTGCCTTTGGTCATTCAAGGTCTTAGCAGAGCTGCAGTAAGGACTCACATATCCTGATGCCTGATTTGCTCTCCGTAGTGTGTGTTTCTGTCTGCCAAACCAGGGGAGACAAAATACCAACAACCCCACTTTGTGGGGTAACCACAAAGCATTCATCTGTCATGCGGGAAAAGCATCCTTTCTCTTGCAAGATGCGAAATCAAAGTCAGGGTTTCCTGTAAGAACAGCATAACTTGTTGAGAGTGCATTTATTTTCACAGCATTACAAAAGAATACCAAAAATCGCCTTCTTTTTACATATGTATAGCAAAGAGAGTGCCTTTCTAAAAGCTGCAAAAAGACAGTAAAGCCATAAAGAGGGACCAGATCTTATTTGTTTGCACATCTCTGTGACGTGGGATAAGGTATGGTCCCTGGTGGATGTCAGATCAGAACTCGTTGGACTAATGAATGAGCATCTGTTGTTCCTTTTCTCGGGCTCAACAGCTCCAAAGCCACTAGTCACTGGACAGCAAGAACGTGTGAACATCAATATCTACATGGATAAATGTAGTTTTCTGTTCTCTCTCTCTCTCTCTCTCTCACACACACACACACACACACGCACACACACACTCTGTAACTTCAGCCCATCTCATTTGTCAATCCTAAGCTCCTTCACCCTAGACTACATTTGGTAAGTTTTTGTTAGTGTCTCTAAGCCCTATAGCAGGCCCTCTTAGTCAATGCTGCATGAACCATTCATTTGATGGTGAATTAGAAAGTTTATGCAAGTGAAAAATTCTAAAAAGGCACCAGACACATTCCTTAAATACCTAACTGTAACATAACTGCGCAGGCAGCTGCCGATCTTTCTCACATGAGCCACACCCAAGTGCGTGGTCTGATTTCTAGCCTTTGGGGGGCCTTAGGGTGCCTGCCCGTACCCTGAGTGTACTGCCTACATGCACATCTCAATTTTGACGATTTCCCCGCAAATCTTTTACAACTGTCTCTCTCATGCCTAATCCCATGTCGATTTTTTCACAATTTATCTTTATCTAGTCTTTCCAAAGCCTACAATTTTCTTTTCAAAAAAATAACTTTCTTTTAGAATGCATACATAAGTGAGTAATTTAAAACAGTTAATTAAGTGACATAATTACCAAAACAAGCCCAGCTGGTGGTATGAAGAGGGCTAGAAAGCACACCTGTCGAACACCAGGAGTGGAAGGAAGTGTGTGGATACGGAGCAGCCCAGCCCCCACCAGGTGCACGGAGGGCAGGGTGACCCGCAACACCACTGAGTGGTGAACAGAAGAGGCTTTCAATAAAAAAAAAGTTTACTACTGAAGAAGTCACAAAGAACATTTACTTTTTGGGGTAAATCTAACAACAAAAACAAAAAAACCCAAAAAACAAAAAAAAAAACACCTATAATATTTTGAAATATAATTACATATTGATTTTGTTGTTATTAATCGTCACCCGAGGATATTTTTCCATTGATTTTTCTTTTTAGAGAGAGTGGAAGGGAGCGAGGGAGAGAAAAACATCCATGTGAGAGACACATGGACTGGCTGCCTCCCACACGACCCTGACCAGGGCTAGGGATTGAACCCGCAACCCAGGTACATGCTCTTGATCAGAATCGAACCCAAGACCCTTCAGTCCACAGGCTGACACTCTAACCATTGAGGCAGACTGGCCAGGGCTGATTTTTTAAACATAACAGTTTTATTGAGATATAATTCACGTATTATGTAATTAATCCTTATGAGTGCACAAGTTCATGGTTTTTAGGATTTCCACAGAGTTGTGCATCTATTATCACACCATCCACTGACTTTTAAAGAACGTGCTATCTTACCATCAGCGGCGAGGCTGCTCGTGAGCTGTGAGAGAAAATGTGTTTTTGCAAAACATTGAACAAGGAAGCACCACTTAACTTGTACACAAAGCCCTAATTTTTCACTCCCAGTTTTCAAGTTACACATTCTCTAAACCACCTCTTGAATTTCCGTAAGTTAATAGATTTTTGCAATCTTCGGAGTCACTGGGACAGATCATACGAAGCAGATGCAAAGAAATATTTTATTATACACATTTTGGGTTGTAACAAATGTAAATATTCTTTCTTCCCACTTAGCCCTGCTAACTTTTTTTTCCCCCACTGAGAAATTCATGGATCTGCGACTAATTTACTCCCTAGAGACAGAAACAACTATAGATTCATCGCATTCTTTCTGCTTGAGTAAAGCCTTCATTTTACGTTCAACTTGAAACCGTAAGTGGAGATTGTCGACATCGATTGAAAAAGAAAAATTGAGGTTACCACAAAGATACCTCCTGGGAAAACATTAGATCCCTTTGAAGTTTTTATACATGACAAACAGATGTTTGAATCACCCAAACCACAACGGCAGGTAAGACATGAGCTCTCTTTGATTCAGCGTGCTGTTATCTCTAATTCTTCCCTTGCAGTCTCTTGCCAGAAAATACCCGAGAAAGGAGGCTGGCGGGAATCCACCCAGCAAAAGTAGTCTTCCTCCACTCCTGAATCTTTCCAGTTTGCGACTTTCAACATCCATCTACTAAAACCTGCGGGATGACTCCGCACACGAACTTCAGATTTATGTTGATAAATAAAGACTAGTAAAAATAAACAAATACATCCAACTTCTCTTATGGAGAGGAACACTGTTTTCCCGGGTTCTTTCACCCTGTAATACCATAGGGTCAAAACACACCAAGGAAACAATAATCATCTTGGGCAGGAACT